ACACGCTTGGTAACACTGCAGTCTATCATCGTATTTCATCTTTCACAGAAAAATGCTCAAGAGCATTATTTTTCTTAATGTGTGGTAGGCTAAAAATGAACCCTCAAGGGTTTCTATTGCTCTTCTTGTTGCCAGAGCAACAAAGCAATACTCACCTGAATATCCGCCAGTGTAAGTATCAATTTACGAGCTGAGATGAAGTTGGTGCTGCTAGCAGATGTCGCTAACAGCATTTTTACTATAAGCCAAATTTTAGTGGCAAGGGATGCCATGAAAATTAATGAATATATTACTATTTTATTTGTGCTACTTGATCATTGCTCCTTTAATTCAAGTGTTTCTATTAGAATGCCTTGACCAATGACATTCAAAGTGAAAGGGAAAAACGGAAAGGCTTTTATGCGAAATCTAGCGCGCTAAAAAGACTTCGTTAAGCAACTCAGAAGAAATTTTGCTTCTCATTAGAAAGCATACTAGGACACTTCTGCAATAAACTTCCCGAAACTCTTTGTCGTAAGGAGATAGGAGGGGCTGGGGAGAGGGAAGCAGCTAAGAAACATTTTAAGAGCATACAAGTGTTATTACTTTCCAAATTGAAAAAGGGCTCATTGTTTACCACTGTATCAATCCAAACATTCACACTATGTTTCTGTGTGAAACAAGTGACAGAAGCACTACTTATATTACTACACTGTAGAAGAAGGAATACAACTTTGAAACTATTTGTTATGTGTCAAACTAAAACCAGGAGGACGATATGGAACCAAATCACAGAATTGGAAACATCACTCACTCTCTTTTCAGAACAAAGTCTATTGCTTTAAGAAAAACTCAAGGGATCTTCTTCTTGTTATGTGTACTAAAAATTCTAATTATAAGACATTGAGAGAGACGTATGGAAAATAGAATAGGGAGAAAACAGCTAATCTCTATAGCTTTTTACATTCCTTGGAATTGATCATTCTTCTCCCCTTAAAAATTTAGAGGCAGAGGAAGAAGGAACCAACTCAAAATTTCCTATTTCCAACTCCTAATTCCAACAGAAATAATTTCCAGGCGTTGGATTACAACACCAATTATTTCACGCTATTCAGCCAAGCAATCTGAAAAGTACAAGGATTAAAAAGGAAAGAAAACCACAGGCACTTCCAGTTCTGAAGTGAAATGCACAAGTTAGGGTTTTTTTTTAAAAAAAAACAACAGTGCTTTATTTTCACCCACATTATGCACCTCTGTAAAAGCACCATTTCTGAAAAAGAGAAATCTTTGCTTATTTCATGCAGAGTCAGATGCAGAGGCAGTGTGAATCAGAAAGCTATATGAAGGGATTATAGGCAGAAAATCTTCTAGGCAAGGGATTGGGAGATTCAGAGCTAAGCTTTTTTTTTTTCCTCCTGGTTTCCCACACAGATATGCAAATTGCTCTGCTATCGAAATGGAAAGGATTTTTTTTTTTCCTTAAAAGAACCCCAAACAACCACCCCAAACCAAAACAACAGACAACTAATAGTTATCACCAGACTCCTCAACTTTGCACTGTTTATCTTTCAAACCCACTATGCCAGTGCTACAGAAAAGCAATGGAGCTCCTGCAATGCTTATTGACTAGATACAAGAAAAAAAATCGTCCTATCTGCAAAGAAAATATCAGCATTAAGATCTACGCTTGCACAACGGAGGTCTGGTCAAATATAGTCTTCCCCGCTCTCTCCCACTATTGTTTTCAGTCTTACCACATATTTGTTTTCAGCTGGTCAGTACACACTCTTTTCATTTGATTGACACACTGGCAAAGCTAAACTAAACACCTCCAACTGCTGCTCAAGTTGAAAAACAAGCCAGCATTAAGACTTCCACTTCACAGCCTGTCCATGAAGACAGATACTTTTGCCTTGAACTTCTAGGTTGCTGAGCTCAGCCAAAAAAAAGGGTTGTCTTTCTCATTTTGTTCTTTCCTTTTTGTTACACTCTCATTAGGAATACCAAAAGAGATGAAAGAACACCCTTAGCTTTATCATCTGTCCATACATATGCAGATCAGCCTTTTCTAAGTATCGGACATCAACTTAAAAACTCCAGCAAGCCCACATTAGGGGGAAAACCTAAAGGCCTTTTTTGTGCACGAAAGTGGAAAGTCACGAAGTATTAATTTTTATAAAATCCACTACTTTGAAGCCAAGGAGTTGCATTTGGTTGTCTTGTGCTTCGAGACCAATTCTAAGCCACACGCTTACCAGTGGTAGCATCCTTGTAAATTAAGAGAGGTAGTCTTGTTTTACACTAAGGCTGAACAAGTTTGATTCCCAGTTTTCACCTCCTCAAACTATATTGTAATGACACTCAGGAAGGGCGACCCTCTCAAGTGGCAGCAGTGATCTTGAGGAAAATAACCACAAACCAACATTTCTTCTTGACCTCACTTTGCTTTTCTCTGCTGCTTAAGTCTGACCTTTGTCCCTCCCCAGCACATGAGCACAGTTTCAAAATGAATTGATGTAAACAGAAAGCAGTATTCATTTAATGCAATTAATAAGAAAGATTAATGTTTTCTTCTCTTTTTCTACAGTCAGGGCTCGATTAGTTAGAAAATACTGACAGCTCCTTGTTTTGTGAGTGAGGGATGGACAATTTTGTTCAGACAGTGGAAGAACATCATGGTGTGCTTTTTTTTTTTTACTTTTTTTTTTTAAAAAGAAGGTACTATTAAGAGCATAAAGGCTCATTGTACTGCAGTAGCAAATCCAGTACCGTAGCACTTCAGAGGTGGTTAACAGTGCTTTGGTTCAGAATCAGTGTTAGAAAATAAAGCTTAAAAAGTTATGATGTAGGATATTTGGCGGGATTTTGACAGCAATTTGTAACGAACGTAAAAAGAACTGAGGCATTGGCTTCTTCCCCTTGGCAAAATATTTTGTTCTTCATTTTGTTTAAGTCCCAGGGTTCATGATCAAGTTTCTCATTTCCATCGATGACGCACTAAGGAGGATTCGTCATTGACCACGTCATTGTCGGTGTAGCGATGCTGACACCGTGGTGGAATAAGCAGCAGGATGATCAGTACAAGGAGGATAATTCCACAGAGGCTCATGAGAGCATAGGAGGCAATCCACAACACTGGTTCGTGGAAAGAAATGCTAGAAACACAGTTGCTTGCAACATCTGCTGTTGTGAAAGGGCCTTCAATCTCAGATACTGGAGAGCCATCAACTTCTGAGAAATTACAAAAAGAAAAACATTAAGTCTACAGGCACAATTTAAAAGCAAATAACAAAAGATCTAGCCTAAATACCTATATATCCCTTTCCCTCCATTATCATATCATACATCTCGGCATACTCATGTTTTATTGTATTTCTCTTTGTAATAAAAATACTAGGATTTCACGTTTATAAAACGGGAATCTGAAGCACAAGGAGACCATGATACTCCGACATCTACATAGGCTGTCAACAAGACAGCAGACATTTAAATCAGGTCTCCCACAGCTCAAATTAAAGCAAAAGCCACCGGATAACCTTTTCTCTCTGGACTAACCTTTCAGAAACGTCAATTTAACAAAGATTAAAAATCCTACAACACCTACACTGGGGCAGGTCAGGGCCTGGGCAGTTTTTGTTTGTTTCTGGCATTCACAACAACTGGCAGAATACCTCAGATGATTCTTACATATTCTGTGTTTGCTATCTTCCAGGGTCTTAGGGAGCAGCATGCAGGGTTCACTAGCTCCATATAGCTACCTTAAAGGACCGCATCTTCAACACAAGGTGCAGGGTGAAAAGCTGCACAGACACTCTTGTGAGTGGAGGTGAAAATTCAGAAGGAAGAGGAGGTGAGACAGGAGAGCTGGGTGAGAGCTGTACAGAAAAGGGGAATGGTGGAGGGGAAGGTCAACACCAGGAGCGAGGAGCTGGGCCGTGAAGGAGCAGTGCTGTTGGGCACAGAGGGAGGAACTAACCAAGCAGCTTGAAAAACGGAGATGACAAAGCTAAGGCGAGAAGTGCAAAGGAGTGCCTTGGCAGCTCTGTTTTCAAACAGCCATCCATCTCGGTAACATCACAGACTGTGGGACTTGTTGCATTACCATCACAAACCTCTCCTTGTTAAACCGGTATTTGCTAAAAAGTGTGATGCTGCCCATGGTTGTCACAGTAACCGTGGCAAGCGCAGCAAAGTTCCCCTGAGTGGTGGACAGGGCTACAAGTATTGTAAAGGCAGAGCAAGTGAGTTGCCCAGGGCAACAGAGTATTCAGAGCATTTCCTATCTGCAGGTCCTCGGCCAGGGAAGGATGGATACCTTTTTAGCTTGCTCGGGGCAACTAAGAGCCTGCACTTAGTACTGTCTGTGCATTTTAACAAGTCTTCCCAACAGTTGTAATTCACTTCTCTGGTCAGATACTTCAAGACACACTTGCGTATTTCTTACGAAGGCCTCAATTTTAACCTTCCTGCTTCGTTTCTTGTTCATTTTACGTACAGACACGCTCTTGCCAAATTGTAAGTGATTCTGCCTACTGAGAACAGTGTCTCTTATTTACACAAATCTTAGACACGACTCCTGAAAGCATGTTTAAAGAGATCAGTATAAAACACCCTTTGGAAGGAAGAGAGGAGCCTGGGTTTTGCAAAGGCAGGAAGGTGGCCTTTAAGGTTCTTTGTGGAGAAGCAAATGCAGAATAGGTGGGCTGCTTTACCTGCAATTTATCGGGAGAGATTTTAGTTGGTGTTCAGTCCCTGGCCTTCCAACACCTGATATTATTTAAAGGTTTAAGTCTCATTAGACTTTATTCAACTTAACTGCAGGCTGCTGCTGGAAGAGACAGTCCTGCTCGCCCTCACTTCTGTCCCTTGCTGCCTTTTTTGCGTTGGTGCTAGCGACCAGTAGGCTACAAGGAGAGTCAGAGCAACTCGCTGATCTGATGGAAAACCAGCCTGTCATAACAAACAAAATGCCCAAACAAGGAATTTTCTGTAGGATTACTCAACTTAACCAACCCTTTCTCCAGCTGCAAGTGTAGGAAGACTCCTTTAGCAGCAACATGTTGCTAGAGCAGACTGGGTGAAACCTGAGGCTGCACCCACAAGCACCTTAACGCTGGTGGATACCAAACACATACTCTCTCAACTCATCAGATGGTAAATAAACTGGCCTATGCACCTTGTATTGTCAGCATATCTTTGCCAAGACACTGCTCTTACATAGATATGGTATGGTGGCTGCACAGTAGTGGACAGACTTGTAAAAGACTATCTAGAAGGTCTGTGGCAGAATCTGTTTCGTTCAGAGTCACATTATTGAACTTTCTACCATGCAATTGTTTCTGCTGGACATCCCACCCCCTCGCACCACTTCTTCTGTCTATAAAGTCCTGCAGCAAAACCAAACTAAACCATAGTTAATACTCATGTGAAATGCAAGGCTTAAGTATTACTACTTAGGAATTTAATATTTTGAAGAAGTGAAAAAAAAAACCCCAAAGCAGCACAATTTTCCAACTTGGAGACACCTTTGAGAATAAACAGTCCCAAATTACTCATTATTTGGCTTGAGTACAATAATTACTCCCATTAAAAAAGGCAATACAAAACTGTTGCCATAGTGGCGGACATTTTAAATTACATTTTGAGAACGCTTGATAGCGACACAGCCTCTGCTTTCTTCCCTCCAAAAAGAAAAGTTTTCCCTCACCCTCTTCCACCTCTAGAGAAACCGAGAGGAAATTCAAAGAGAGGAAATTTGCCTAAATTGTTCAAACAAGCTGTTAACATAAACTAGCAGTCACATACACTTAGCATATTCCACATTAGCTGAATTAGGATATTTTGGCATATTTTTTTTAGAACATCTGATGGTAGCTACGTACAATAAATTCTTGACCTTGAATAAATGAGATTTTTTTCATTATTGATGAATACAGGACAAAAATGTCACCTCTGGAAAAATGCTATTTTATAACATTTGTGCAGAACTCAGACACACTCATTCTCACTCACCATCTTCCGTGGTTTGGAAAGGAAGCAAACCTGAAGTTAGATCAAATTTATCATGAACTTGTAAAGTGCTACTTGGAAGGGGCTCTTGGAAGTCACCTAATCCAGCCTCCTACTCAAAGCAGGACAGTCACCATCAATAGATCAGGTCAGCTGCACTTAATCCAGCCAGGTCTTGTAAAACCCTGAGGATGGAGACCCCATGATCCCCCTGGGCAGACCGTTTCAGTGCTGCACCACCCTCCTAGTGAAGAAGAAATTCCTCATGTTCAACTTGAACCTTCCTGAATGTAACTGGTGGATGTTGCCCTTTATTACGAAGTTTCATTTGCGCTCGTCCTTGGCTTGTATTTGACTTGGAGCCCATCATAATCCCCAGTTCTTTGTCTGCAGGGCTCCTATTCAGCTGTTCCTTTCCCAGACTGTACCCGGGCATGGTGGTTTTCTGCTCGAGGTGCAGAACTTTGTGCTTTTTCTCACTGAAACTCTTGAGGATTCTGTTGCCCAGTCCTCCAGGTTATCAAGATCCTTCTGGACTGAAGCTCTGCTATTCATCATGCCATCCATTTTGTCAAGTTTAGTGCCTACAAATTTGGGTGCATTCTGTCTCATCACAGTTTAGTATAGAAGGCATTTATGATTACAGTGCTTGGTGAGTTTCTTCCCTAAAAAATACGCAAGTCTTGCTCCTATGATCTTCTCTCTCACTACAAAAATACTAGAGGTATAATTCTGCTATATGCCAAGGTACCATAAGGTTGCTTCGCTAATACTAACTAGTTGATCTGAACATCTTGGCTCAAGAAGGGACCTGATCCGAAATCTTTCCTAGTCATTCTGTAAACAGTAGGTTATCCCTGAAATTATCAACAGGCAACCTGAAGCAATTTGAAATTAGTAAAAGGCAGAGTAAGTCTTAAAGGGTTTCATGTATTGAGGAAAAAGCAAATTTATTTTCCTGCTGCAATAGAACAGCTTCCTACAGCCATCTGTCTAACTCTCCTCACTCTTGGTACATTCTGTAGAATGAAAAACGGTGCAAGGAGTGTTGTGGGATAAGCCAGTTCTCATCTCTAGCCAAGTTTTGAGAGAAACTTGGTATTTCAGTGAAGTTACGGCTTTTAGTCCTGTTCCCACCATTTCTGTATTCAGCACATACCCATTTAACATCTTATAAAAACATGGGCTTAAATTTAACATTAACACTCTATTGTAAACTAGAAGCATAGGTCCTTGCAAAGCCACACACACCAAATGGTCTTTTATATTTCTCTATTTCTGAAGACTTATGCTACCGGTAATTCAATTTAATTTATACCCATGAATAGACTAAAAAGCTCCAAATAAATTGCGTTAATATAGTTGCTATGGAGGACATGGCTGGCATCCACAGGAAGCCAGTTAGGCAGCTTAATCCCTCACATTGCACTGACTGCTAACCACTCACAGTTGTGGTTTTCTGATGAAAGTAGTGTTAAATATGGAAACCACAAGCTGTGAAGATGTGAATTCAGAATAACTGGCACATCCAGCAAAGTGTCATCTGCCCCGTGTGACTAGAGTTTGACAAATCAGTATATCTTGTCTCAGTCAGTGGCTTGTATCATCTGATTTCTCAAGAAGCTAAGTTCCCGTGATGTTAGGTTAGACATGTGCATGGAAGATGGACACAGAAACAAGGAGGAAATGCCTTCTAGCACCAGCTGGGTATCATCATGCGTCCAAGCTCATGTAAATTCAGATTTCATTTCTATTCAGCAAGCTCAGTTCCTCTCTAGACAAGGCTGGCAGAACTACATGAAGTGGCCAAACTCCGTGTTTCTATGTAGCAACATTAACATTAAGGTGTTATTATGATTCCCTGACTCTCCTTCTCAACAAAGACGTGCTGTCAAAGCGGTTCTTATGAGCACCAGCTGGCTCATGTCTCCTGCTGACCACATGTCGGTCAATATGTTCTGTCAAAATGCTCCCTCCCCTCTCCATTAATGGCTGCAGCGCGGCAGGGACAGGAGGCAGCTCTACACTTGCTAAAATTGCAGTCGGGAAGCACAAGGAAGAATGAAAGGCAGGAAAACCTGGTCTGCAGTATTTGTCTAGTTCCACTCTCCTTCCAGATGCATTCAAAATATGTCTTTCATCACTGCACGGTACCTCATAGAGGTTTTCATTAAGCAACCCACATCAATATCCAGATTTTCTTTCATAGCAAGCTCAAAGATGACAATTTTAAATCCATTAACAATGGAGAGATTTTTTTTAAAAAAAAGCTTTTCAAATGCCCTAGGGCTAAAACTCAGCTAGTTAGTATCTCTCTTTTTTCCCCTCAATTACCTGGTTGCATTAGGCACTCAAGTACTCACTGCCCTTACCCTCTCTAACATAAATACTGGGGTTTAAAAAAGCACTGTCAGTCGTAGTCCTTTTCTCACGCAAATCTCAGACGATACAGCATTTTTCAGGTCATAGACCACTTCTGTTTGGGACAGAAACTTGCCTATGGGTGCAAATCCTTTCCCTCCTCCCCCGTTTGTATGTTCTTGTGGTGCCAAAGCTATGTCTCATCAACAAGGGGAGGAAACTCCAAACCTTTTGTTTTTAGTTATTCTTGGTGAGATAAGAGAAATCATGAAAAAGCAAGAAAGTTAACCAGTACTGTAAAATCAGCCAAAAATGATGAGCTTTTTCACGTTTCCTCAGCAGTTAATAAAAAAAATTAATGGCCTTCTACTTACACTGAGAAAACTATTTGTTTAGAACCAACGCAACCACAAGTCTTAAAATTTGAGTATTTCTGAGAGGATGCACAATTTACATTAAGCGAAAAGCATGAGTAAGGGACTTGATTGCACATTGCAAAAGTTAGATGAAGAATACATTTATCCACAAATTAGAACAGGAACCACACAAAAATAAAGCTGCATTAAAAACAGGGACTTGTCTCACATAACTGTTGGGGAAACTGCACACACAGACAGATGTCTTGGAAAGAAGATCTTCTCTCAGAGGGAAGAACGCAGCTAAAATACCCAGAGCTGAGGCTGATTCACTTCGTGTGAAAAGATTGTTGCATGCAATACAGCTTTTTTTTTTTTTCTTCCCTTTGAAATCTATACAGCTTGGTATCGCCCAAAAACATACTCTTCACACTTCATGATTAACCACGCTTTTCCCCATCAGGTAAGTGGCAAAGGTGTTTCTCTGAGAGAGCAGGTGTTTCCTCACTCACCAAGTCCTGAACAATATTTCTCTTACCTGCACATGGACTCACTGCAAAGCCCACTCTCCTCTGTGCTCTGTCAAATATTACATAGAAGCCTTCCATGACTGTAGCACCAATAACTAGAGCATTCGTGGAGGAAGAGATGCCAAATCGGTAGCACTGTAAATTCTCTCCTATTTCAAGGATGGGTTGAATATAAAGCTATTTAAAAAAAAAAAAAAGCCAGAGTGTAAGAAGCAACACCACATGGTACTTAGAAGTTCAGAACTTTTTATTTTTATATTCAAGCACTCAAACTCCACTGGAAATAGAGAATGAATAGGGGCAAACAGATTTCTGTACACAATTTAAAACTGGTCAAAGCTTACAGGCAGGTAAGAGGAAAAGCTCTTGGATTCTAAGCTTAAGTGTGAACACAGTCAGTCACTATGTGAAGGTCAACAGCAAACTCATGAGAGCCACTTTTTATTGTATTTTCCATAAAGGAAGGATAGCTGAGAAAGAACTTGGGATATGAACTCAAATTAGAGAATAAGTTTATTATTTAAAAAATTATCAGGATGAAATTGATTCAGAGAACATTCGGTGTCAGCTTCAAGGCTCTAAATTCATAAATTCAAGTCACATTTTACCGCTTGTCTCCTCAGGGAAGATGAAAGATTGCCAAGCTACATGATCAATACAGAAAAAGCTTATTGTAAGGCTTTACTATATTTCAAGTTAAAATACACTTAATAGATTCATTCTCCCCTTTGCTTTTGACCATCCCCTGAGGTAAAAGGACTGTATTAGTAATGTTAGAGGATACTTGCCTGTATTGCAACCTACACTGTGGGGGGGAGCCAGAGGGGGAAAATAAAAGTGGCATATTGTATTTTAAAAGCTGAGATGGAATATTAATGAAAGATAAACCAGTCAAGTTACAGAAACTGGTGAAGAGATCACACATAGGCTCCTTGCCAAGACCGTCATATTCAGGAGAAGTGCTCCAGCTCAGAATGCCACGAAAAATAAATCAATTTGCTTTCCAAAACGAGAAGATCAAAATGAGCAGAGACATTCTGCATTGACATCTAACGTGGCTAAAGCTCATGAAAACAAAATAAAAACTTGCTTGTTTTTCCTGACAATTTGAAAAAAATAATTCCCAGCTATATGGACTGCAGTCAGAGGGAAACTCTGTTTTTCTTTTTTAGTTTTAGGTTTGACAAGTTTGTTATTCTCCCTATTTAAAATCTGATTTTTAAATTCCATTTAAAAATATTTCCCTTGCATGCAATAAGCCAGTTCTCTATTATTGCTAGAAATAGCTCCTATTTTTTAAGAGCATCTGCATTATCATAGCAAAAATAAATGCACAACTGAATAAACAAAGAAGGTTGAGACCTGTGGTAGGATGGAGATTCGAAACGATCTACTGGAGTTTTCATCCCTCAGGTAAATGGAGAGTTTGGGAAATAAGGACCAGGGTCTTTCAGTTTTATCCCAGCATGCAAGCTGTGAACCAGTCCAGAAACCAGAAGAGAATTCTTGTATCTATTAAGAAAAAAAAAAAAAAAAAAGAAAAAAAGAAAAGTGATACATACAGATTACATACATTTAGATAGATTTTTGTAAATGATCACTACCACTATTTGAAACTTCTTCTGTTCCCATGGAGAAATTCAAGTATGAACACAAGTCTGACAAAGAACTTTTTCTTTAAGGATCAAAGTAAAATCCCGACACACAAATCAAGATGCGTCATAACCCATTGTGACTTCTGCAATGAACATGCATGACCTCCCTGAGCAATCAGTACCACAAAGAGGCAAAGCATCAACGGATTTTTACTACCTGTCTGCCTCTGCTTGAAACAGCTCTGACAAAAAGCCAATGTTGTGAAGCAGCAGAGAGTTTTTTCAAAAACACAAACCAAAATACAAACCACTTGAATATGTAATGGAGACATCTCCCTTCCTCATATACCTACAATTTTCTTACTCAGCTTTAGGGTTTTAAAGCCAAGGGCTAAGCCAAAACCTGGTATTGAAGGGAATCAAGGTCTGCTACAGTCAATGGAAAGAAAAACGTCCCTCTGTCTCTTTTACTGCCCTGCCACTCACTACCAATACAACTTGTTATGCTTTTGAAATAAGGTTGATTAACAGTACTTCTTAATATATCCATGGCACTAACAAAGAAAAAAAACTCCTACAGAGCTTGTTCGCCTAAAACAAACATCTTCTCTCATGTTCATGCTCCCTGAAGCTGATCTGCTGCCAGACAGAGGAAAAACCTTCCTTATCCAAGTGCATTACTTTGTGCTGGTTCTTATTCCCATGTGAAGCAACATCCAAGGCAGTATCTTGTTCTGACACTGCATAGCCAAAGCCTCCTGTTTGGGTGAAGAAGAAAGATGGAATCCAGCCTCTTCAGTCCCTTCATTTGTATTTATCTGTGATATCAATTATTTTGTAAACTTCAGCTCATACATTAGCTATACGGCATTTTACAGGTGACAAGTATTCATACACCCCCACATACCTGCCAATGAAATACTTGTTAGGGCTGCACAGTATGAGAGACTTAATACTTCCAGATGTGCTGTTCTGACTTCAGCTCAGTGAGGTATAGTAGCTGCCACCCCTCTGTGGCTCATCTCTGCCCATCTGCCAAACCCACCAGCCTTCAGACCTGCCAACATCAAACTGCATCTATTGCTGCTCTCTAAAAGACTTCGATCCAAATAAGTAAGGTTTAAAAAACAATCGGCACCACTAACGAGCTTAAAGCTCACAGCCTTGTTTTTTCATGGAGCTGAATAAAGGAACACTTCACACACAGTTATCCCAGTATACCCGAGAGAGCAAAGACATCTTGCTGGGAAGCTCATAACAAGCAGCTAAGAGCAGGAACTTGTTAACCTGGTTCACCTGTGGTCAGAGAAGCATGTCTGGCTACAGCAGATGATTTTATGTTTCAGTGATACATCGCCTGCCAGAAGCACAGAGCGCTCAGAGCACAGTTGCGATGCCATGGTACAATTGCTGAAAATACCCATTTTCCTGACATTGCTACTACACAGCTAGAATCCGATCCTGACATCTTGTAACAACTTTCTTATTTAATAGACTATCTCCTTTGTTTAGAGCTGTGAAATTAACTTTTGGTGTGTGTGTAGTGAAAGGGATAGAGCAGCAAGGTCCTTGAGATTAAAAAGAGACCCTAAAAGAGAAGAGTTAGTTTATGCATTTTTAATAGGAAGAACAAAAACCATTAAGCAGAGAGAGTGGTTCCCCTCTAATACGTTATCGATCAGTTGACTGACTATTCACGTGTCATGTGGAAGGTCCTAGTTCAAATGTCCTTCTGATCAACATCAGAGAAGAGGGTGGACCGCTGTGACCCACTTCACAGGAGGATGTCATATCCACAAGGCGCCATTACAAGAGCTCTTGGGTAGGCTTCTTTCAATTCCCCCCCATTGACTGAAATTGTTCCAGTCAATACATCAATGTTTTGCACAGAGAAGAACTTTTCAACCAGGGAAGCTGAGATATGTGAGATAACTGACACATTATATCAGATATTGGACACCTGCAGGCAGCGAAGAACACTTCATACCAAATCTCTGCTCTCAATCACGTAGGAAAAGGATCTAAATCTTGAATTATCAGCATACAGGCAACTACTCTGTCTTTTGGGCAGCCAGCCAACAGCCTGGTTACTGAAATTCCTGTGATTTGCAACTACTACAGCTGTCTGATTGTGAATCCATGACAAAAATATTAAAATTGTTCACATTGAAGTATCTGGGACTTATTCTTCATCTTTAACTTTCCTGGTGCTGTTCATTGTATTCAACCAACATTTATGAATAGTTTTTATTAACTGAAAACCGTGGCTTCAGTTACTCTACACTCAGAGAAATCCACCAACCCTATGCCCTACTTCTAAAGCCCACTCTATTTCCAAATAAAGACGCCTTTGAACATAAATAATTCAATAATGAAGGTCACAAGCAGCTTTATTGACATGAATAATCCCAATGAATGGCATCCATTCTATACAAAAATAAGCATTATACTTGGAAGGAAACTGTGTGCAGTAGCAGGTTCTTCTACTTTATAAATACTCTGTTTTGAATGAAAGGCCTGGTTTTTCGTGGTGTTTTTTTTTTCTTTTTTTCCACACTCTTAATGCTTTGAATCAGAGCAACAGGGCTTATGTCCATGTTTCATAAATGCTTAGAACAAAACATTCCATCTCTGCACTATTTCTGATGCATTAACATACACACATTTCTTGTATGTACTTGGAACCCCCCTCTCCCTCCTCCCTTTCCCTTTTTTTCCTCTTCCTTTCCACCAAAGGCTATCAGTCATTTCTCCCTTATTAACAGGAGTAGACCAGGAAAGATTCCGCTCCCCTCAGGTTAAAACCCTATGACTTACAAGGTAAACAACAAAGATGACACTGCTTTCAAAGATCAAGTGAGCATTTAACAGGAATTTAACATTTTGAGAGGATTTAATGACATTGGCTTACCAGCGATGTGCGAGCTATTGCTTGCACCACAGCACTGAACACTTTCTGGGGCAGACGGAGGAGGGTGGTCCCACTGTCTACTATCGCTTTATCAGCATTATACTAGGGAAGGGGAAAAAAGGAGAGAAGTTACACACTATAGTTAATGTAATGTCGTTGCACTGTTTCATAACAATGACAAAACTGTTGCTTTTTGGTAGCTGTCTTCCCAAACCTGCATGTCATACCTGTCAGCAGCTCTCTCTAGTTGGTAGCTTGAATTCAAATGAAGTCTGAGAGCAAAAGCAAGATACAGTCAGCCTAGACACAAGATTGAGTTTATCTGCACCACTCAAGAAATTACCATGTGTCACCACAGCTGGTGCAAATGGCCAAACCACTGTAAAAAGAAGCAAAGCCTGGCCCCTCTCAGAGGTGTGAGCTAATCCACTTTACCTCCCATATGCTTTGGGCAGAGTACAGACAGATGCTAAGCACGCTGATGTGGCTTACACATATGTCCAAGCCCTGAATCAAGCTCTCTGCTATCATGGAAACAACTTACTCTAGTTTAAACATAGTACAGCAGCCTACTGTTAATGGCTGGCATTTCTAACTTATGAACAATCAGGGAACATTAGGTCTCATTACGTCATGTTCGGTCCTGGCTCAAGAGTACAAATGCCAAGTGCCACACCTTTCTCTCTCGACTGCTGAAAACCACTAAAACACAGACGAAAACAGGTACGAAGAAACTGGAAACTTCAATCTTGCTGCCTCAAAATCTGCACTAAAAAAACCTAAGCAAACATTTCTCTTCATTATTAAAATCTCAACCCTCAGATTAAGAGATTTCACTGAACTTCGGATACAGTAAACAAAGAATAAATATTTTAAAAGGTTCATCTTTTTGCATGGCCTCCTTAAAAACTATGAGAAAAAAACAACAGGCAAGTAGCAGTGGCAGCTGTTTGCCTTAACTACTTTTGTTATCAGCATAGGCAGAAGGATCAATATAACTGAACAGTGACATGTTTATGGCATAATCATAAGACACAAGGTAAAACACAGCATAAGCTTTTTAGGAAGAGGTCGAACAGCAAGTGAATTGAAAATACGTTGGTTTAGATGTTATCAAGTCATATGGAATATCTTTAGCTCAGTGACAAAAATAAAACCCACCAAAAAGTAAAAAACTAAAAACGTAACTCTGAGTTATCTTCTTTTTGAAAGAAAAAATGCTATAGGCTGCCAAGCAGAGCTGAAAGAAAGCAGGAAACCATTTACCATTCACTCAGAAATACTTCTAAAGAGTGGAGAGAAACATCAAGGCAGTGTGGAATTCATTTTAACAGATTTGTACCACAAATACGCAGTGGCCAGCATCCTGGAAAGCCACCCTTGGAAAAAAGCAGGTAGGAGGCACAGCCAAGAGGATCAATGACTAACATAAACCCATGCAAAATGCCTGGAGTAGCAGGATTGCTCAGCCAGGGACGAAGCACCTGGATTTTCATGCTGCGTCCAGTGTACTTGCAGTGAGCAGGAACTTGCCTTCTGTGTTCCTGGTTAATATTTAGCAGTGCCCCCCACGGAGCGTGCACTGCTGGCAGCTCAGTGCCTCTCTCAGCCCTGGTCTGCAGGCTCGAGGCCACAGCTGCAGTGTTAACACTGGACAGATTCCCAGCATTGAAGCGAGGGCACTACTCTTCCCTTGCAAGGAAAGGAGTAGTCTCTGGTGACGGTTAGAAAAAACGTTCCATTTCCTAGAAAACAACTAAGAGGAGAGAGGGCACATAGTTCATCATCCTATAGAGTGAATTGTGCATCCTCTGCAAGCCCCCGGCTAGCCAAACTTTAATCATACTAGCTCTAATTTACTGTTCTTCCTCTAAATTTTTGCGGGAAGATCTCCTTTGATCAAGAAGGGAACGATGCCTTCTGTGACATCGTGAGTAGCGCACTATGCTAATACGTACAATGTGAAAGCAAATCCTGGCTCAGAGGAGAGCGACAATAACAGGAAACTTTCAGAACGCCGCTAGATTTTTAAGTGAGTTGTTTTCTGGAAACGGCACGTATTAAACCATTAGTACAAGGGCTCCTCTTCAAAAACATGTTGACTGCTTTTTAAGGCAAGAAAGGAAAGCAACACAAACATTTATGTCAGAGGGCCAGCAGTTTTGCTTCCCTGTCAGTATAATAGAGGCAGGCATTTAAATAGACCTTATTTTGCTTATGAAGCTGAAAGACGACATGACTAATTTTAAATATTTTATATGGCAATAGGATTTCCATATTTTGTACGGAAATATAATATTTATGCACATGTAAGATTTTTATCATGAATTTAACTTGTGTGAACTGTAAAAACTGAAGAATTATCACATCCCAATAATTCCCAACTAAGAGAACGCATATAAGATAAAATTAGGATGCCTAACGAAAACAGGGTGTGAAAATTACAGAACTAAAATCAAAACATGAATAGCGACAAGAAACAGTAACAAACAAATGAAACACACACATACATATCCTCCAGAAAAAAATGAAACAGCTTTGAGATAAAAATTGCAACAACACAGTCTCATTAGACTGATCCAGAGATAGGAGAACATTATTCCTAATAAACTCAGAAAACATATCCATCAGGAATAATAACTGGCAAGGCTGAAGCAAGCAAAAATGGATTACAAAAAAAAAAAAAAAAAAAAAAGGAGGCATAGGATGAGATACTTTGGGAAGCTTCTCAGGATGAGACCTGCCCATTGCCATCATGAATTATGTGCTTACACATCTCCACAGGGGTCAATCCAACAATCTTCCCTTTTCTTTGTTTGACCAGAATTGTCTTAAACCCCTTCAGTTTGATTATATTGTATAACATAAAACTGTAAACTGTAGTTGTTTAAAGACTGCTGTCTCCTGAAGTCTTGAGTGCTTAGACATCTTTGTTACAACTGAAACTAGTTCCCTTCCAAACCACAGCAGCCTTATTCTCAGTGGACTATTCACTTCACAATTGTAGCTTAGTCCCTAATTTATTGAAAATACTATCAATGATTTTAAAGTCCTATTTGAAGCAATTTTAGCATGTTCGATGTACATACTGCATTTCACATGGCTTGTTCATTTCTTTTCAAAGTTACCATGTAGCATTAATTCTCAGAGGAAACTGCAATACAGATCTCCTTGTAAAGACAAAACTGATCAATTAAGTGTTGTTCTTAACCAAACTTGCATTTTATGTAGATGGAAACACAGTTTCACAAATACCTCTCTGCAGTCTAATTCAAGGTTCTGTCCTCCGACCTCCAGTTTGAGAATTTCAACCTGGTAATACCACTCCTCTTTGATCGGTGTGTACCAAATATCACCCTTGTACAGACTTGGTTCGATTCCACCCAGAACCTGAGGGAAAAGAGAAAGGAATTCACACGCTTTAAAATCCCGGATGCTTAGTTTGAGGGCAAGTACAGGAAGTAAGGGGAATATTTAATTGTGATACACAGGGCATCAAAATTTTAATTTAACACCCTTTGTAAGTATTTTACTAACAAGTTCTCTGTCAATAATAAAGCAGTATGAAACACATAGAAATTAAGCAGATCGTGCTCCAGTCAACCAGAATTCCCATATGGGGCCAAATTATCAACATCTTCATCTACAAGCTCACACTGACTCTCTTATGAAAGCTCCACTGTTTAAAATCAAAATAGTATCTTCAGTGGTTTAATCTAGGCAATGTATAAAAATGGGACAGAATATTAAACTTGCACATCATAAATTCATTTTATTAGATCACAAAAGCCTTAATACTGCTTAAGAATATTTAATTTTTCTTACACACGTCCAAAATGGAATATAACCAGCCTATCATTGCTATCTCTATTAACTTCCATGAAGACTTACGTTGGAGCTGACTGGGAGCATCCTAGACCATCAGACTTTGAACTGAAATAACATAAGCGAGTTCTCTCTTGAGCTTCATATATCTGAGGTGTGTTACCATTCACAGTGTGAATTTACAGCAAAATAACTATTTGTGATCAACTCCTGTGCTGATATGCTTATTTCAGCATAATTCGGGAACAGTCATTCCAACTCCTGATTCCAGATAAATACTGGCCAATTCTTGGTCTCTCTAAAACTGATGGAAAGACTTCCAACATTAATAACAAGGGGAAATCTGGTCTTCAGATTATTTCTGTTGGTATGTTGTCTTAAAAAAAGAAAAAAAAGAGAGCAGCCTCGATTCCTCTCCCCCTTTTCACATCATTTAAAAAAAATTACTGTAGCATTTTAATGAGTTTGAACAAGCTTATCAGCTGAGTAAGGGACAACTCAGTTTAAGAAAGGTAGCAGAATGTGCCCTGAGGAAACATCACAACATTTATGTTTTTCTTTATTAAAATTAAACTTTAAATGCCGAAGTTCACTCAAACTTGAGCGATAAAAAAAGAATGGAGAATAAAAATAGACACTTGAGTTTTGCCTAAAAGCTTAACTTCTCCTTAAAAAAATTATAAAACATTTAATATATTTAAACACTAAATTTGGAAGTAGGATAGTCATAGAAAAGAGGGAGAGAGATTGACAAAGATACATCTTCCCTCTCAGATTGACAGATACCCACAAGACTACCTCCGTTGGTACCACTTCCAGAAACAGGCAGTCCAGCACCACACATCTGCAGGGAGAAAATGTCGGGGATCTTTGCCTGACTCACAAGAGAATCAAAGAATGTCTCCACAGAACTTGAAGGCTTGAAGGTGTTGAAAAACAAAACAAAAAAAACCAAAAGAATTTCAGAAGTATTCATTAAAAAGTTGCTTTGTACAAATGAGCAAATCATTCAAACAAGACCACTTTTCACAATTAAATTGCATTTCTGACAATCAAGTGATGAAAATTCTAGATATAGTAAGTCATTAAAAACTCAACATCTGTTATTTCTCTTTTTCTGTTATTTTTAAAAACATTTTTATTCTTGACCACTGTCGTAGAAATCTCTAAAGCATGAGATTATTTTCCAATTGCAGTTTTCAAACTCAAATAGTACTTTCGGTTTCAGGCAGAAACTCTTGCCAGTGCTTTCTGTTTGGAAAATGCTTTGGGTTATTAGAACTGCGAAATGTAACTTGCCCTTCCCACCTTTCCACAGCTAAAAGGCAGAATTTTAAAGTGAGGACTTTCAGTTTTTAAACACAGAGTTTAATTCCAATGAAGTTAGAATTCAATGGCCTTAATTTCCTCTTCTTCCTTTTAAAGAATTTAATATCCAAGCACACCCACTTCAACCGATTACAGGCCAACAGGTTCTTCCCTACTTGCCTTTGCAGTTGTTACAGTACCACAATTTCATTGAAATTCAGATTTCCGTGCGGGTACATCTCACGGCAGGCAGAGACCCCGGCGAGCTTGCAAGGCACCAAGTGCTCTTACTACACAAAGCACAGAGCAGCCGCAGAAGCCAACAACACTTAAGTCTTTGGGAAAAGGGAAAAATAAATGCCCTGAATACACTATTTGCCCAAATCAAGAGTTTGAGAAGCAGCTCTTCTCTGTCTGTCTGTCGACAGTGTATGACAGCAAGTGCAGCAGAAGTCAACACAATGATCACACAGCTCTTGAATAAAGCATTTTAATTCCAGAGTCAGCAGGCAGTACTGAATCCTTTGTTCTAATGAGATATATCTCAGTTTGTGAATTTCTCAGGCAGTTATGTGCCGGTTGAAAACTATGACTATGTAGTATTCCAATCACGTTTATCAGTTTTAGATTATAAGGTTATAAATTTCAGACTATAAATTTTAGGTTTTAATTTAAACTTCTACCTGAATTTCCTGCCTCCATAAGAACAGGACGTGCTTGGTTATATATTAATGAAAATGCTGTAGCTAATATTTGTTCTGAAATTATCCATATACGCCCTCCATCTCAATTTTTACTGGATGAATAGAGAATGTCTTAGAATGAACTGCCAAGGGCTTTGCCAAATCAGTCCATCAGTCCCTTGACAAACCTTGAGGAAGATCATCACAGCCTTCATAAATGCCCTCTATATGCATACCAGAAGCCTTTACTCCCATCCTCTGGTACTACAAATTCTGTAAAAGCTTATCCTTTCCAGAGGAGCTAAAATCAGAGCCTTCATCACCGGAAAAGCCTAAATCCTCATATGGGACTATGGTACCATCACAACCCAGTTCATTCTTTCTGGAATTTAACAAATGCAAAGGATCCATAGGAAAGAGAGGGTGGAAGGAAGAAGTCTAATGCTGACAGATCATATGCCTTATTTATTTTAATAGTTAGATTTCTATTTACTGTCATTGTGAAAGATAATAGCTGAGGAAAGGGTGACTTACCTTGGCTAAGGCATTGTAGGCAAGACCAAGAATCCCCTGCCATTTAACCCCTGGTAAGAAGAAATTCTCTGATTCAAGAATGGTAGCAATGTTGATGGTATAGCTGCCATAAACTCCTTTGGGGATAGTAATGACATCTGTACCCAGCACTCCAGTCCAGCTTCCTTGACTGTATTTAACTGTGACATCAATCCCTCGAGATTTGTATGTACTTGACCTTTAAAAGGAAAAGACACACTTATGCATGAGCTGTTCATTTACAATGCAAGACAACAGAATATATTCAATCCTAATTTTTCCCAGAGAGGAAAAAAAGTGAAGTCTGCAAAGTCAATCACATATACTTACAGAAGGAGGAGAATGGCTTATAGAAGTAATTAAAAAAAAAAAAGGCAGTTAAAAAAAATAATCTTGAAGCCCTGTTTTTATCCTGAAGCCATCAATGACTCAAACCTTCACAACGTGTGACTTTTTTTTTTTTTCTCCTTCTTTTTCAATCTAAGGTATTGTGCTATGTAGTGCAGTATGTCCCTGACTCAGATTGGTCCATCACAACAGGAGCAATAGTCTGTAACTGGAGACGGAACGTATTAAGTGGTGCTAGGAAATGAAAAGCTTCTGAATTCAAATCTGAAATTGAAATGCCAGGCTAACTGAATAGCTGTAGACTCATACCTCATTAATATTATTAAAAAATCCATTTTGGGTAAATTGGAATATTATTGTGAGTATCAGCAGTAAGACACACGTTTTCTAAATCTGCAGTTTGGTCTATCTATCAGAAAGTAAGTAGATTTGGATATTATTAACAAGTGATTCACTGACTTGGAGGTGGAAAGGAAGGAATTCCTTCTAGGCCAGGACAGCAAAGGCAAAGGAGCAGTTGAGTACGGCAAAGAAAGGAAAAAAATCTTAATTAGAAGGCTTAACAAAAACATGAGAAAAAAAATCAATAGATTTTTTTCATTTTAAAATCCTGTAGTATAAACATAGTAATCATCTTCCACCCTCATCACTACTGAAGAGCTACAAAACTCCTAGATTCCTTACAATCTATTTTGGTCCCATTCCTTGGCATGCAGCTTCCCCTTCTGAAAAGGCAGATGACCCATGCTCGGTTCATCCAAACAGACTTTAACAGCTTTTTTAAAAAGTAAAATTAAAAAAAAAAAAAAGGCAAGTGAAAAGTAATTTCACAACACCATCTTTACATTTGTGTAAAACAACAGAAAGTGCAGATGATTTATCAAGTGCAGTCAGTTTTATCAGCCTAGCTTTAAGCTAACAGCAGCTCTGACAGAAACAGCCACACGAAGTGGCTTCACAGCCCCTCTGTACCTGAGCTTACCAGAATGAAGTTGGTGTGATTTTACCTATTATAGGGAACAACTTTCAGATGGCAACGCAGACAATTCCCACCCATTCGAGCAGACACTTTATCTTGAGGAACAATTTGGCCATATGGACCACACAACTGATCCTCTTCCCAGCTAAGGAATGGCGGAGCAGTAAGAGGCCAGACTTTAACCCTAAGCAGTTCTTGATACTCCCAACACCTAACCCTTCGGGGTCTTTGTAGCCCAGTAGGCTTGTAACATCCAAGATAGCAGAAGTAAATGAGGTAATAGGCTCCACAGATTATATTTCAAAATCATGAATTCCAAGGAGGCTGTTACTACTTGTATCTGGTCACTGCTACTGCTGTTTTACCTGTCTGAATAATACTGCATTTGTATGACACTTAGACAAAGGGACACTTCTGTTCAGCCAGGGTCTTCAGAGCACCACTGTGATGCTGGCAGTACATTTTATAAATCAAAATTAAGTCTGAATAATTAGTGACATAGGAGAAACTAGGGAGGGGCAGGAAAAGGAAGGGAAAATACAGGGCTCTTCATGTAGAAAAGTGGCTGGCTGTGCAAAGGAAGTGGAAACATCTGAAATCTGAGGGAAAAGTGAGTGCTGGGAGAATAAAGTGAAGTGAATCTGCAAACGCAGACATCTGCATGACTAGCAACAGCAGCAGCACATAGCTCTTCTTCCATAAGCAGAAACAGCCTGATGGATTGAGCTGTGGACCAGGACACAGAAAGGCTGGGTTCGTTTTCCAGCATGGCTGGTGAATTTTCCTGTGGAAAGGCAGGACAAGTCACTTCCTTGCTCTATGTGCCTCACCTTCCTCACCTGTAGAAATGGGTATGAGGACGTTCATCTCATTTGTAAAGTGCACAAATGTCATATTGAACAGAAAGCCTTATTATTTCCTTCAAGAAGCAAAATTCCTAGTACGAGAAGGGATCTCACATGATCCTTGTGGCAGTAAATTATATTCTGTTCTGCAAAACCACTTCCTGCTCCCTCTTCTTGACTGTAATCAGCCAGTGCTTTTCTACCTCGCTGATCCAAAGGAAGAAAATTTCTTTCAAGCTGAAAACTAGAGACTTGTTCTAATTCATGGGCTGTTTTAAACAAACACATGACACAAAAAATTCCAAACAAGCTGTTCTGGCTACGATGAGAAAATAAGAAATTTAACTTCCCAAGCAGGACAGAGTGTATCTTCACTAGAGGTGAAGAAAAAGGCCTCCTAGATTATGGTGCTGCAGTGCCACTAGTCCCTTCTCCCTCTCCTTTCTGGTGACTATCTTCTCTCCAAAGCAGCCAGGAGAAACACGGTCCTCAAACCTCAGCTTAGAAAATTAGCAATGAGTTCATTTTATCATGCAGAGTTACTCCTCATTACCAGCCCACAGCACTGAACAAAACACTGACAAAATCTTATGCTCAGCAGGGTGACGGCAAATCCACTGTGCAGAAAGCCCTGCTTAACACCAACCTTGCCAAACACATGCAATTCTTTCTGAATTCCACGGACTCCCAAGCCCACTTGCCTCTCTACAACAAATCAGGACTTACCCATTTACTTTTTCCTAAGCACCAAATCAACGTCTCCATGAACAGCAATGGCAAAGAAGGGACAGAAAACTGCAATGGACCAAAAAATCTGACCACAAGTTTTGATCCCTTCTCTAATGAAGATGAATGGCACGAGATAAGTGTTTCAGGCAACGACTGTAAGACAAAGCAAACACGAAAACCCAACAACCAGCCTAGTGGTCTAAAGACTACTACACAACACAAATCATTGATTTTTAACCAAGAAGTCCCATTTAACTTGCAGGGGTTTTGGAACAAGTTCATAATTTTCCTCAAACCATAAACTGTACAGTGTACACAACCAAACTTGCAGAATCATACCACAAAGCAGCAGCTTACTTTTGCTTGCTGGTATATAACTTACTGTATTACTTCAATTTACTGCCAATAATTTTCTCACCTCCTATCTCTTGGAATAATCAACTCTTTAGCAGTTTGCTCTTGAAAGTTTCGATGGTGAGGCAGTACTACTCACACCAAAATAAAACTGAACACTGTAGCTGAATGCTGACGGCCATGAGTATGTCATTCTCACATATCGCTACAGAGCCATCACTGATCATTCAGTTTTAAGTGTAAAAATCCCTTTATACATCTGTTTAAGTAGTTCTTTTATCATAAGTAGCATACTCAACAAAAACTATTTGTTATTTTGAACAGCACGAGAAACAAACGCTGTGATTTCTTTCCAGTTCAGGACAAACTAGGCCATTTCCCAAAACCTTAACACATCATGGTGACTTACACAGCATGATCACCACAGCAGACTCAGAACTTTTCACAGCAAAGTTTTGTCAGAGCCACTCAAAAGCCCAAGTCGTGAAAGAGTTCATGATAACAGCTTTATTAGTTTTGTACAGAAAGGCCAAGATAATTAAACAGTAGAATTATATGACGTGGTTTATATGACACACATCATCGTTTAACAAGCTAGTTCTAAAATTGCTCAAGGAGGGCTCTTCCTGAGCAACACACCCTCCGGGTCCTTTGAAACAAAGATAATGCCTTTCCTATACACCCCCCTCAATTTCAGTCAAAAAACGATCATGCATTTAATTTCAGATTTTGATCATTTGAGTAAAATTAAACTAAGAGTGTGGCAATCACGAAATTCAGACCCATCACACTCTTCCTCCAACACAATATTAATATTCTAATAAGAACACATCTATAAGTCAGTCCCATTAACTTAACAAATTACTAATCCTTCTTTCTCCTCGTCTTCAATTTGCAATTTATGACTTTGATATGGAAGCACTTCACGACAATATAGGGGAAAACTGTAGGAGTGATTACCAGAGGAGAGAAAATCTCTTTATCTAATTTTGAAGCGTTCCACACAGTGTGGAAGAAAAGTGCCCATAGGTCATTTGTCTAATTTACACATGGGTAAAGGTCACTTTTAGGTGATTTTATAGATGCATCTGATGTGATGTCACGGCCCCTGTCTACCACCTATGCAAAATCATGACAACCAGAGAGGGTAACTTGACTACTGGGAAAAGGCTATCATAAGGCCGGTCTCAAAAAAGCGGGGCCCAAGGAATTATAGGCCACTGGGCTTCACCTCAAGTCAGGAAAGATCTCAGAGAACAACCTGTTGGAATCTGTTCCCAAGCATATGAAGGACAAGAAGTTAACCATGGACACTCAATGAGAAATTTCACAGGCATATTACACCTGACCAACCTCACTGCCTTCTACAAGATGTCTGGCTATGCAGATGAGGAGAGTGCAGTGGCTGTGGCACATATTAATCTTAGTTGGGCTTTTGACACCATCTCCCATGGCATTCCCATTTGGAAGCTGAGGATGTGGAGCTGAACAAACAGACCATTGTGTGGGTTGAAAATGGGCTAGGTCACTGGGCCCAAAGGGCAGCAGCCATTGGCTCAACGTCAGGCTCATGAAAACCACAGTGCTCCAGGGGTTGTGAGTGGAGGAAAAATTGTTCAACATCTTCATTAAGAATCTGCACAATGGACAGACTGCACCCTCAGCAGATTTGCAAAGGACACTACATTAAGGGGAAGAACTGACACGCTAAATGTCAGAGCTTGAATTCAAAGGAACCTTGAAAGATGGGAAGATTGAGCCAACAGAAACCTTATGGCATTCAACAAGGAGAAGCACAAAGTTTTGTAGCTGACATGAAACAAGTCCATGTATCAGAACAAATTGAGAAGCAACTGAAAACGACCCAAAAGGGCTTGAGTTAATGGTGGACACTAGGCTGTGTAAGAGCCAACAGCATACCTGCCCTGTGCATACAGCAAACTCCTCACCAGGCCACATTTGGAGGGCCATATACAACATACTCAAGGAAAACGCTCTCACCCTCTGGTCAGCACTGGTGAAACCACATCTGGAATAGATTGTGGCCAGCTGTGGGAACCCAGTTCAACAAGGATCTGGAGAAAGAGAAGAGAGACTGGCAGAGGGATACCAAAACAGGTCAAGGACCATGAACTCCGGATCTGTGATGAGAAGCTGAGAGGAGCAAGGCTTTGGTTTTGCAGACAAGAGGCTAGGCGGAGATCTCACAGCAGCTTACAACAACTTGAAAGACAGTTACAAAGATGACACAGCCAAACTTTTCTCTACAGTGTGGATAATAACAGAAGGGCCAAAACCCACGAGTCACATTTTGTGAGGTTTGGGTTGGACAATAGGAAACATTTCCTCCACAGGAGAGTGTGGCACAGCACTGAAACACACTGGGCCAGAGAGAACATGGATTCTCTACCCTTAAAACTTTACATGACTCGGCTGGACTCAGCCATGGCTGTGAGTGACAGCCCTGCCTCATTTCGGATATGCACTAAGTGACATATAGAGGTTTCCTGCAAACATTTTTGCAACGTCTAATTGATTTCAGTGGGGTCAAATTCCCTCCGAGATTACATTTAAATAAATATATTTAAAGTATTTGTAATGAAAGAAGCTTGGCGTAGCCAGGTTCAAGCATGCTACTGGTTGCACTTTATTCCGAGCATATTGCAGTACTCCATCAATCCAACCCAAACCAGAAATTGCTATTGCAATTGCTCTGGACTGTAATGGCTTGAGTTTAAATCATTTTACAAATCATCCTTAACTCTAAATTTCAAGGTTTCATTATTAACTTTGATATAAAGTTCTCAAAACACAGTGTACACTGCGAACACTGATAAGAGACTGTAACCTTCAAGTGATTTCATAGTCCTTCTCAACACAAAACCTCTGCTGTTGTTGCCGTTTCTAATGATTTATGGTTCTTAGGAGAGAGGCCTTGCCCTTCCAGACAAAATAACATCACTTAAGAGAAAAGAGAGAAGGAATGCTTGCATTTTTAACTCCTTGCAATTAAGTTTCCTCTAGTGACTACGTAGGCAGATGGCTGGCATGTAAAACTCTGCAGTAGTGCAGAAACAGCTTTCAAGTGCAAATTCTGGACTTTCCAGACGTGTGTCATCAGAGTGAGATAGGAAATATCTCCACTAACATCTGAATATGTGACAGGAGGTAAGGCTATTCTAGTAAGCAGCATGGAAATACCAGCTTTCCCTTCATTACCAATGCATCTTACTGGAAAAAAAGTGCCAAACTCCATGTTAAAATACATAAAGAGGTAATGAGAATTACCATATCATTACCAGTGATATTCTCCAGCCTCCCAGTCCTCTAAATATTTTTATCTGTCTGCTTCAGCTAAAGACAGAGTCTGTGTTTTGGAGAAGTTTACCTGAAATAATTGAAACTAGAGAAGGGCAGAAAGGAAGGAAGAAAGGAGGGAGAGCGATTCAGTCAAAGCTGTGCTTGGCTGTGACTAATGCCAGCTCATGCTAAACACAGCAAATTTAGTGCATAACAAGCACCAAGACCACCAAGTCGTATCTTACACACAACCAGATTCATCAGGGTCTGTCCAGTCCACTCACTGATCGAGGCCCTTGGCCAACCTAAACAACAAATTAGTTTTTGTCTAAATGATTTCGGTTTTGGATGAAATGTCAAGTAACTGATACAATTCTTAGGTTTTAATTTTTGTTTTATAACAAAACGAAAGTATATTTAAACTTTTAATCCCTTCCAAGACTGTTCAGATAAGAAATTGGCTGAAAACAGTGTCATTTAGCAAACGATTTTTACCCCATAATCTTCTTCCCTTTTCTCCAGCTCTAATCAGTGCTGCGCTCAGAGCTCAGCTGCACTGCCATCAGTGGGACTGTTCATGATGTCAGGCAGGACTTTGCATCAGGTGAGGCCCATCTTCCCAGTCAGGCAACAAACGTCCCACTGTCATGGGACATCACAGGAGCCCCACGAACTGCCTTATTGTCCTCTTTCACATGGAGCTGCCAGATTCTAAAAGACATCCTAACCCATCACGACGTGCAGAACAGGTACTTACAGCTCAGTATTGAAGTAGGTGGTGACATCAGGATCAGGCACACCTGCTACAGCAAAATTACTGCTCCCAGTGTCAACCAGAATATTTAACTGCCGAAACAGAAGAAAGGAGAGGTGGTTTTCATATCCAACTAAACAAACAAACAAACAGAAATATCATTGTCGTGGGTTAGGCTGAGTCCGGCAACCAAACCCACGCAGCTCTCCCAGTCCAGTAAAATGGAGAGGAGAGAAAAATGTAATAAAAGAGCTGAGGATCGAGACAGGAACAGAGGAGCACCCACCAACCACGGTCCCGGGCAAAAGAGGCTTTTTCTTAATGCAAAACTATTTATTAACAGCTACCTACAAAAGAGAAAAGCACACAAAAACGGTTACTTGAGAGAATAACAAGAAACAAGGTCTAAACTAACTTCAGCTTTAAAACGATGATGAAAGTTGCCCTGAAAAATAAACGCACTGTCACTTTTGGGAAAGACACGCTGCTGCAGCCCCTTCAAAACAGCTGATCACACTGATGCGCTTTAAAATAGTCACATTCCTGGAAGGAGGAAAACCCGCCAAGCCCACATTCACACAGCAGATGAATTCATGACCGACTCAAATTTCTTTTTGGCCCAACCCATGTGTCTCGGCAACCTGTCTCATCCAGGACATTACATCCTGTTTAAAGCACTGTTTGCCTTAGAGCTTATGAGGTTTCTAGGTAGGGGCTGAGCGCAAGTCTGAGCAGAAGTAAGCAGAAGCAAGAAGCTGCCCTGTGCCTTGGAGAGCACGAGAACATTGTCCAGTTCCTCCTGAGCAGCAGCAACCTACCATAGCTTTCATCACCTTTAAATAGGAGGATGGTAGATTTATAAACACTGTGAAAAGCATGGATTGAAAGGTGGCCTAAGAGCGGGCCACTCGTTTGGTTAATTGGGAGGACAATTTAGGATTTATAAGCACTGTGAAAAGCATGGATTGAAAGGTGGCCTAAGAGCGGGCCACTCATTTGGTTAATTGGGAGGACAATTTAGGCCAAAAATTGCCTGACAAAACCACATGGACAAAAGGAGCTGCCTCCTTTCCCCATTTGGCTGGGGTTAGCAGGCTGGTTCACCACAGCTGCACGAGGACTTGTGCTAGCAGAAATCAGAAGGTGACAGCACAGGAGCAAGCAGCCGGATGCAGGACCACCTCTTTCAGTGAGACCTTGAAATTACAGGTGTCATTAAATGATAATTTAAGTCAGTCAGAGAATGTGCTGCCATCAAAAGCAGCGGTCACACTTTTTTCCTGCTCTTGGCTGGATGCTTCACAGGGCTTCTCGGCATAAGCACTAGCACCCATGGGGCTGCGCTGCGAATCAGATCAGGTTCCTCACCTACAATTACCAAAAAAATGAGCAATTTGCTGTATCAGACAGCTACTTGAAAAGAGATGGTAGGAGCAGTTACTAGAAAAGGGTGATTGCCTCTTTTGGTGACAGTGTGGACTCAGATTGGCCTAAAATGATTGTGAAATTATGCCCTAGGCAGTAGCGGACACATCTGCTCCCTGGAAAAATATTAAGGAATTAAGAATTTTCCTGTAGGAGGGAGTGAGACATCAGGACTGGGTTGCCCATGGTTTGACTCTATCTCAAACCAGCCACTTTGGGAGTCCTCATCACTCCTTAAGACGTGAGGTAGCTAGAGATCTAGCACTGAAAGTGGATGTGGGAGGGGTAAGAGAGAATGAAACGGGAAATGAGTTTAGTGTTGATGAAGGGGAGAAACAAGGCCGAGCTCAGAGAGTAAAGACAAAGGAGGATAAAGCATTAGGAGAAGATACGCTGAATCCCTCTTTAATAGATTTAAGACTGAGCAGAGACAAAAAAAAAAAGTGTGACTCAATGTTCAAAAACGTCTTTGGTTTGCACATGGAGGGGGAGGGAGGAGATGGTTGCCCCTGTTTCACCTAGTTAATATAACATGGGACTGAGAAGCTCTGAAAATAAACCATGAACACAAAACCAACTAGTAAACTGCAGGACTCTCTTTTGACCTGCATGCACACTCTGTCATTGGTATTCCCAGTCCTGATAACGCAAAAATTTTAAGTCTAAAAAGAAATAAATGCACAACCTTAGTTGAGTTATTTACCCGCCTCGCTGCATCCAAGCTTTTAGATTAGGCAGAGACAATGCATTAAAATTAATTTTGCAACCACGTCAGCTAGACACAGATGCTTAAAAACCAAAGGACATCTACCAGTTCACCTGGATCCAGGAGCTGAGGCTTTAAAAGAAAATATGAACCTCTGAGGCATGACTTGCAATAAAACCCAAAGTTTGCTACATATTTTATTTCAACCATATCAAAAGCCTAACATTTTGTCAACTACCTAACAAAGTAAGAACTACTCCTTTTTCCCCCTCTTGGGGATAAAAATCATATTAAAAATAAATAACAAAGAGCAGCTACAACACGTGCATATATCAGGACTGACAAAAGTTGCCTCAAAGGGGTGCTGCAGGGCTTAAATTAATTAACCTTTCCAAGGCAGTTTGTGATGCTTGAGTAATGGGCACCATACATCAGCTGCATAAATACATATAGGTGTTGCCCTAGCTTCAGTAATATGCATGACACCATACATGGAGGAGGACTTAGAAAAAAAAAAAACAAAACAAACCCGAACACAACCCCAATCACTAAATATGACATGTATGAAAGATATTTTACCCCCACACCTTGAATACAATGTTATCACCACAGAATTCAGAAATCACTGAAGAAAAGGGCGAATTTACTACCCACAAGCAGAAAGCAAATGAACATTTCCAAAAGAGATATGCCCCATGAAAAAAAAAAGAGAAAAATACAAAGCCTGCTAACCATGCAAGCGCCAGCCCACTCGGACACAGCAGCATTCACATGACAGATCGCTATTGAGGCTGACATTCTCTATCTGCATGTTTGTGCATAACGAGACGCAGGCGGCCAGGGCAGACACTGATTTATTGTAGTCCTCACAATAGCACCACTGATTAGCAGCTCATTTTGGGGTGGGTATAACTTACTGAGTTCTCTTTCTCTCCTGGCTACCCTTTGGGTCTGAATTTTCTTTAGTGCCTTCACGTCTCGTTAAGGACCACTTTCATGTTGTCACCACTGGAGCCTACTTTATTCCGAATCGCCTGCCGCGGGTTTAATGGTGCTGCTGAGGGAGCTTCAGGAAAGCTCTGGTGAGTCACAGGGTGGCAACCGAAGGAGCTATGGTCCAGGGCTGCTCACCCTGCCCCATCTCCAGAGGTCAGCCCTGCCCTCTCCCAAAAAACGAAGCCAAACTTCCTCACTTTGCTCACTCCCCTGCCACTGCATTGTGCTGCCCGGCTTACTAACGAAAACCAAAATCGACAGCACCTCAACTTCGTTCACTGAGCTATGCGCTGTGACAGCTGGAGAGCGGTTGTGCCTCTCTGTGCCTTTACCTTTCCGCCACAGGGACAGAAGACCCTGATGCCAAGGCAGAGCCAACAGCGGCAGTGGCATTGTCTCCAGCTGCCTCCTCCTAAAGCCCCAGAGATGGTGAATCAGAGCTCTCCGCAGGCAGGCGGAGCAGGTTCCTTGGCTTTATTATGGTCACCTCGAGTGAATCACTTCTGTCACCAAGAGCTGATTATTTAGTGATCACCCTGTGTTGTCAGAAAGTGTCAGATGAAGTCAGATTTTGCGAAAGTCAAGGTCGGAGAGACACGGCTGAACAAGGTTATGAAGGAAAAACTACCCAAAGACTGCTGACGGATCATGTGCCCAGCATTAAAAACAATGAAAGACTACTTTCCGTTCACTTTTGGAGGTGCAGAAGGAAAGCCTTGGGTTTTTTTTTTATTGTATCTTCCAAGTTCAATTTCAAAACTATATAGCAGAAAGCAGATGGCAAATACAAAAGGCTGGGTTTTTTTCCTCCTGAAGGTCACCTTTACCATAGCCATGGGATATAAAATTTGCACCTAGTACCATACCTGGAGATTATTTTGCTGGATGTATTTCCTATACGGAAATACTGTAAATATTAATAAGAGGCTCATAAAGATCTCTAGCTATAGAGTAAGCAAGATAGCAACATCCACCTCTGCCATGACAAACTTACAGAGAAAATCTGAGTACTCTATTTATATGCCATTAAGTTGTGCTTATAAAAAGAAACAAATCTAAAACTGTTTACTAAAAGTCAGGAACACTGAAAGCAGAAGCCTCCTTAGGCCATCGTTTCATATATTTTCTACTCTGAAGGGCTAGAGACACTGGAAAAAAAACAGTTGTATTGAGTTATTTCAACTGAAGTCAAACACATTGTCAATACTTCAAGGATCCCTCAAACTTTCCAGTGCTTGATTTAGCACCAGCATCAAATAGCACTTATCGTATGCTACCCTGCTTCAATAACGTAACTTACCGCTATGTCTTTAATGTTTCTAAGCTTTCAATTGCTGAATATTGTTGTATTTTGATATCAGAAAAAAATTGCCTATTGATCTGTCATCTTTTTTTCATTCAGCAAGTCTGTGGTTCGGGCATCTGCCCTATCTGTTAAAGCAAGTGGTGTCAATACGACGTCATCAACACTAGGCATTATCTACGCCTCATTTAACTGCTTGGTGAACAGCAATTTGCAGTTATCTCACCATGCATTCAGAAAGTGACTTCCTTGCATTTTCAAGGAAAAGCGATAAAATGCAGCAATCATCCAATTTTTGTTGCATAGAGATTGCTAGCATCCTCTAGCAGGGATGGACCTTGCCTCTGTTCTGATCTACACCCTACACAGACTTCGTGTAAATTTCTCTTTCCTGTTTTAGTTTGAGGTCAGGAGTTTTTGGTAACTTTCAGGAAAATATACAAAACAAATCCCACAGTTTACAAGTGCATAATGCATTTCTTTGAAGCAGCTCTCTGCATGATTTAGCATACACAGCCTTTTCCAGGTATGGAATCCTAGAGCTTGCATACAACCCTGTTGTGCTGTTGCTTTTGATGTGATTCCCTGGGTAACCCACGCAGGGTAAGTGGGTTACCCAGGGTTAGTGATAATCTTCATCCTCGTTAAAAGACTGGCTAATG